ACACACACACACACACACACACACACATATACAGGAAGAGAGAGAGTGGTGGTGGTGGTGGTGGTGGTGAGTACCATCGAGTTGGAACCGATCCATAGCTGACCGTCTAGCAGGTTTTCAGAGGCAATTAATCACATGGGAGGAGACTATCCATCTTTCTTCCGCAGAGCAGATGGTGCATTTGAACCACATGCCTTTGGGACTGCAACACAGCTTCTTGCCACAAGGCCACTAGTGCTCCAACTAAATATATATTAAATACTAAATATATATTAATCTCAGATAAAAAAACAACAAAAATGAAGGTTCAGAGGGTTAACTGAGTTGAGAAGCCACAGGAGGTTTTTCAGAAAGATTTTTTTAAAAAAAGTGTTCGTTCTAGTTGCTGGGCTTTTTATGAACATTTTCCCGAGGGAGCTGGAGGCCCTGACTCAATGTATCTGGGGTGGGGCTGCAGCCAGTGGGTGGAGCCAAAACTTCCAACCCAAACCAAGGAGAGGGATACAGGTAAGTTTTCCCAGGACCTGGGAGACTGGAAGGAAAGGGAGATGGAGAGATGGACAGAAGAGTCACTATCTCAGAGATAAAAGGGACTGGAACCTAGACTTTCCTCTTTTTTGTTCCATACACATCCACAGGTGGCCACAAGGCTCTGGGCATTAAAAGCTCCCTAGATGACAAAGGATAGTGTCTCTGTCTGCATGACAGTCCCAGGGATAACTACGGAGCCCTGGCCTCCTGTCACACTATCCTTTCCCACCCCCACCAGCCCCCAAACTCTTTCTCTCTGTCTCCCTAATGTCTCTGGAATGCCCACCCACTTCTTTCCATGGCCACCACCTCTACTTTACTTCAGTACCCAACATTTCTGGTCTCGATGTCCTCCCCTCATTTATCTTGTCCACTCTCCCTTGCCTCCAGTCTTGCCATGGGTACCTGTGACCTTGCGAAAAGGAAATCTCATCATGCCTTGTCACTCCTCTCCTTACAACACACCAAGATAGGCTTCTGATAGCATCTGAAGCTCCTTCTTATCTGACGTTCACATCCCTATACTTCTGCTGCTTGTTGATCCAGGTTACAGACACCACGTGCTCACCCTCCAGCTCTTGCACACACGCTGTTCCCTCTGTCAGCTTTGATGGCATTGTCCTTAGGGTCCACGTTGCCAAGCAAAGGCCCACCAGTGTGAACCCACCAGCCACTCCAAGGCAGAAAGATGGGCACTGCCCTCCGCTGTGATTTACAACCTCTGAAAACGCCCTGGTGGGTCAGCTGTGCGTCAGTTCCTCGTCAGTATTTTTTAACAGTAGTTTTTGTTTTTGTTTTTGTTTTTTTTAGTATTTTTTAACAGTAGTTTTATTTTCATTTTTGCTGCCCCTACATTTGCTCTTCACAAGCATCATAAGAGGTGGTGTTATTGCAACAGTGAATGAATGGAAATCCAAAATATCTGTAAATGTTCATTAAAATTATTAAAATAAAATAAAAAGAATAGCAAAAAGAAAAAAAAAAAAGAGGTGGTAGTGATGGTGGTGGTTATGTACTATAGAGTCAGAACCGAACCCACAGCTGACCCTCTGGCAGATTTTCAGAGGCAGTTAATCTCACTGGAGGAGACTGACCATCCTTCTCCCGTGGAGCGGCTGGTGGCTCGAACTGTGTGCCTTCAGGTTTGCAGTGCAGCTTCTTGCCACTAGGCTACCAGAGCTCCGTGTATGAGGCGGAGTGGTTGTTCTGTGACTTATAACAAACCTATGAGCCACGGATCTGAACTCTGCCCTGCCTTGTGTCATCCTCACCATCTCTGATACATTTGAGCTCAGTCACTGTGTAGGTACCGTTATTGTTCCCATTTCACAGACCAGAAGACTGAGTATCAGGGAGCCTAACTGTCCTGTCCAACGTCACACAGCTGGCCCCAAAGCTGGCTCTGCTTCTACCTTTAGAAGAGGGGCTTCGTGGCTAATCATACTGACAGTCCTGTACCTTTGCAGGAAATGGGAGGGCGGAGACCCCGGTGTAGCCCACCAAAAGACGCCGACCTGCCTGCTGCTGACCCCAGAGGGCGCCTTTCACAGTTTTGGCTACACAGCCCGTGACTACTACCATGATTTGGACCCAGAGGAGGCCCGGGACTGGCTTTATTTTGAAAAGTTCAAAATGAAGATACACAGTGCCACCGTGAGTTTTGTTCTGGTCTATCAGAGGGCTCCAGGGCTAGATGGGGGCCAAGAGGGGGCAGGTGAGACCCAGGGGCAGGGGCAGGGCCAAAAGGGGCCAGGCAGGGCTAGTGGGGCTTCAGCGGCCTAGTGGATAGGAAGTTGTGCTGCAAACCCAAAGGCCAGTAATATGAATCCATCGGGTACTCTGCAGTAGAATGATGGATAGTCTCCCCGGAGCCTCTGAAAACTTGCTGGAAGGGCAGCTGAGTTGGTTCAGACTCTATGCCAATGAATTATTTCTTTTTAGAATAGAAAGCAGAGCTCAACTAAAGAATGAGAAAGGTGACTTGGGACAGATGTAGCTACATGTGGTGGTGAAGGCTAAAATAGGGACCCAGGTATGTGTAGGCAGAGCTGAGATGTGCAAATGGGCATGGGTGAGCCAGGATGAACAGAGCTAAGAAGTAAGGCAGGGACACTCAGTCCACCAGTTCACTCTTATTCCTAGCTGACCCTCCAGCAGGCTACTAATCACATGGGAGGAGAGTGTCCATCTTTGTCCGCTGGAACTGCTGGTGGATTTGAACCACCTGAGACATGCTGGCTTTGGGTTAGTAGCACAGCTTACTGAGGGATGGCCACCAGAGCTCCCTAGGGATATGAAATTGGGACCAGCACGAGAGTGGTGCTAGAGACAAAGGGGAACATTAAGAAACAGGGTGATGCGAGCTCTGGTGGCCTAGTGGCAAGAAGCTGCATTGCAATCCCAGAGGTGCACAGTTCAAATCCACCAGATGCTCTGCTAGAGGAGGGACAATCTCCTCCTGTACCAGTCAGATCCGATTTGACGGTACACACACACACAAAATAATAAAATAAAATAAAAATTTAAAAAAAAGAAACAGGGTGATTTTACAAGAAAATGTCATGGGGAAAGAGGGGCAGAGCCAAGCCCCCGCCCTTGCAGAGCTACCCTGTATCCTTGCCAGGATCTCACCTTGAAGACTCAGCTGGAGGCTGTTAATGGAAAGAAAATGCCCGCCCTGGAAGTGTTTGCCCATGCCCTGCGATTCTTCAAGGAGCATGCCCTCCAGGTGTGCAGTGTACCGTCACCTGCCAGCCAGGAGGAGGGACACTCCCCAGGCCCTCTCCTTCCTTCTTTCCCCTCTTCCCCTGCTGACCACATCCCACAGTCCATCTGAAGAGTGGCCAGAGACCATTTTTCTGGTCCTCTCCCTTCCTTTCTGTAGCACCCCCATACAGGTGTGTGGGAGGGATGGTGAGCAGTCCTGAGTCCCCAGCTCCCTCAAGGCCCACCGACACCACCCTCACCTCCCCCCATTCGTGCCCTCACTCCTTCCTCCTGCTCCAGGAGCTGAGGGAGCAATGCCCATCGATGCCTGAGAAGGACACGGTACGCTGGGTGCTGACCGTGCCCGCCATCTGGAAGCAGCCGGCCAAGCAATTCATGCGGGAGGCTGCCTACCTGGTGAGGACACGTGGGCAGAGCAAAGCATATTTCTCAGGAGAGCCCCAAGGATGGCCCATAACCAAACACTGCTCCCTTGGGAATGAGTCATTTTATAAATACCTCCCCTTCTGGGAGTTTTGGGAACTGCTGTCACAAGGCAGAGGGCAGACAGGCCACAGGCACAGCCCAGGGCATCTTCCCCACTCTGGTCCCAGTGCAATCTGGAGACATGACTGAAGCTGACTTGTCTTCAGTCAGATGCCCTGGAAGCAAAAGCCCAAGATGTGGATGTTTGTGTCTGGGGCCTATTGAAGCTGAGCTCTCTGGACCAAGGGCAGGGATTATTAGAGCAGAGCAGACAGGGCAGGCCAAAAGGGAGAACTAAGGGATGTTGCCTCAGCAGGAATGTAGCCACAGGCTGATCCTGGGGAACTCTGGAGCAAGAATTGTCCCACCTATTGAGAAGAATGACTTTCTGTAATCTTTATCAGTCATTGCTTCCTGGAGGATGGGCAGAGAAAACTCTCTGTGCAGTGAGCCAATAGCAACCATTCAAAGTATGGTTTGAATGGATGGGATGGACATCCATTTCAGCCTGGACCTGTGTTTGCAGGAAAACTCCCCCATTATAGGGAAACTCTCCCTGAGCAGGAGAATCCTGGCTATGAAATTATGAAAGGAGACTTAGACCAGTGTTTGCTATTCTTCCTACCACAAAAGAGGCCTACATGTCTAGAGAAGGGCCAGGGTAGGGGACGGTTTAGGCTCACCCTGCTCTTGGACAAAGGATATGTCCTCTCTCACAGGCCAGCTTCATTGCTTGGTCTAACCCCTGTGATCCTAGAATTTTCAAAGGAGAGCCGAGGTCAGCCTCTGGACGCCCCCTAGAGGATACCAAGACCCTTAACAACACACACACACTCACTCACTCTCTCTCCCTCCCCCCCCCACTCCCGTGGGTCGGGCATGCCCTGTGATCCAGGCTAGGAGGTACCCATGCTGGTCCCTGAACAGAGCTAGCCAGGAGCCCAGCACCAGCGGACAGCAGGATACTCTCCAGCCAGTACAAACACCACTCACTTCACTGTCCCTATTTCCTCCCACGCTGCTCCCTGTTGCCAGCTCGGGAAGGGCAGGTCCTAAAGCAGGAAGTCCCCATACCCACCCACACCCATGCCCCCCACCTGGTCAGAACCCAGAGAATCCCACAAAACCTGAAGTGCTTCCCACAGGGCTCCCCTGACCTGGTGCCAGAAACAGCAGGTTCTAAGTCAGCTTCTCCCGTCATTGGGCCTGTCTTGGTGTCTGGTGTCTGGATTCCACCACCAGCATTTCCTGCCTTCTATACCAGACTTGTTCCAGAGTTCTCCTGGGAGTCAAGAGAGGTGGCCACATCCAACCCCAGCGTGGTGGGGGAAAGGGTTTGTGAGCTGTAGGGGACCCAGATTTTTGATGGGTGGTGTGGTCATTATGCTCCCCCCGGCCCACTCTGGCCTGCTCTGCATCTGTGAGGGGGGAGGTCTGCTGCAGCCCCTGCCTCCTCGGGCAGCTCTGAGGAGGCAGACTTGGGCACTCTGGTCTGAACTCTGGGGTCTCTTCTGGGAACTGCCTTGAAGCTTCTAGTGCACAGCTTGACCACAGGGTGGGAGGGAGGCAATTCCAAAGAGGAGAAGACTGGGGGGAGTGGAGGGAGAAGAGGGAATTGCACAGGCCCTGGTCCCCCACTCTGCATTGCCATGTTAGGAGTGCCCATGGCACTGCCTGGCCTTGCCCACCACCCACCCGTAGGCCGGCCTGGTGTCCCGAGAGAACGCTGAGCAGCTACTGATTGCTCTGGAGCCGGAGGCCGCCTCTGTCTACTGCAGGAAGCTGCGTCTGCACCAGCTGGTGGACCTGAGCAGCCGCGCCCCGGGAGGAGGGCGTCTGGGCGAGCGCCGGTCCATCGACTCCAGCTTCCGGCAGGGTGAGCCAGTCCGTGAGGTCCTGCCGCTACTGGGCCTGGATGCAGTCACCTTGGGAGGGCCGTAGAGGCATAGCCATGTCCTAAATGAAGGAGAGCAAGCCCCCCACCCAGGAGAGCCCATCTAAAGGGGTAGAAACATCCCTGAGTCCAGTCCAAAGAAGAGATGTGTCCCTACAGGAACCCAGTCTTGGTGGAAGGCAAAGCTCTCGGCGGGGGGGAGCCCAGCGTGAGGACAGAGATTTCATCTTGCTCTTGGGGAACATGATCTGGGGATTAGAACTCAGCCCAGACCAGAGGGAGTGCAGTTTGAAGGTATGGGGGGACCACCACAAAAGCTGCCAAGAGAGGCTCTCTGGTGATGAAGTGCCCTCTCTGAGATGAAGGGAGAAGTCATCAGGGGCTCTTATCAGTTCATCCCCTCAAACTAGCCGCTAAGCCATCTTGCTGGCCCCGCTCCTTTGTCATCCCCACACATTTTAACCCCAGACTCCTGTTTTCAGGTTCAGATACTAATAAGGCCAATCTTAGCTACCCTCCAAACAGCATCTTTGGGTTCCTGGAACCTTCGAGAACTTGAACCATCCACACCACCTCAGTTCACCCCTGCTCCCCCAACTTACTCATTGTCCATCCAGGTGGAACCAACTCATAGTCAACCTTGACCCTTCAAGTGGGTTTTCTGAGGCTGTAAATAGCATGGGAGGAAATGGCCCATCTTTGTCTGGTGGAGCCAAGTGGTGGATTTGAACCACTAGAGAGACAGCATATGAGTTAGTGAGCAATGCTCCCTCTAGGCGTCTCCAAACCGTGTTAACCCTGATTTCACCCTGACTGCACAGTTAGGGGGGAGCACGTGTGTCTAGAAATACTCCCTTTCCACTCGCAGTGGTTACAGGACCCTCTCTCTGTGTCTTGAGGGGGTGGCTGCCTCTTGAGGGGGTGGGGGGCATGGAGATTGACTCCGGCACCTCCCCTTCACCTTGTTCTCCTGACCCCAGCCCGCGAGCAGCTGCGAAGGTCGCGTCACAGCCGCACGTTCCTGGTGGAGTCGGGCGTCGGGGAGCTGTGGGCGGAGATGCAAGCAGGTGGGTGGAGAGAGGGGCGGGGGGCCTGAACCTGGTTCCTGTGTGTAGGGATGGAGGAAGGGGACACGCTGGCGAAACCCACCTTAGATCCTGGAAGCCCCACCCCACCTCCTCGCCTTGTACTAGGCAGCTCTCTTGGGCGGAGTCCCCAGGGACCATGGGCAGTGTGTCTGCCCCCCAGTCCTGCATCCTTTTGGCTTGAGGCTCAAGCAGCTGAAACCCCTTCACAAGCAGGACTTTGGGGTTTGGGGCAGGATTGGCGGTTGGGAGAGACCTAAGGGGGGGCGACCCCGGGCGCCAGCTACCCACGCGTGTGCCCGCGCTTGTCGCCGCAGGAGATCGCTACATGGTGGCCGACTGCGGAGGAGGCACCGTGGACCTGACCGTGCACCAGCTGGAGCAGCCGCACGGCACCCTCAAGGAGCTCTACAAAGCCTCGGGTGAGCAGCCAGGGTGCGCCCCCGCCCCGCCCTGCCGACACCCACGACACCCACGGCGGCTCGGTCGGCTGATCCCATCCGCCCCCTGCCCCACCCAGGCGGCCCCTATGGCGCGGTGGGCGTGGACCTGGCCTTCGAGCAGCTGCTGGGCCGCATCTTTGGCGAGGACTTCATCGCTACGTTCAAAAGGCAACGGCCGGCCGCCTGGGTGGATCTGACCATTGCCTTCGAGGCCCGCAAACGCACCGCGGGCCCGCACCGCTCCGGGGCGCTCAACATCTCCCTCCCCTTCTCCTTCATCGACTTCTACCGCAAGCAGCGAGGCCACAACGTGGAGACTGCCCTGCGCAGGAGCAGGTGGGCCCAGGACTGCAGGCTCGAGCTAGGTGGGGTTGGGAGATGTGCAATAGGCCTGCAGGGGAGCCTCGTAGGCCCCAGAGGCAGTGGTGCCCGCTAGACCTGCCCCTACCAACCCCCAACTCTTCGTGTGTATCACCCAGCCACACCAGTGTGCAAGCCACACCCCAGGATTCTGAAGCCCCAGCTGGTGTTGGAGGGAAGGAGGGGTTCATGCCTGTCCTCTCCGCCCCCCTGCGAAGAAATGGCTGCATCTACACACACACACACACACACACACACACACACACACACACACACACACGATGAGGGTCAAGGCCCTCAGGGGCCAGGGGTACCTTCCCGGAAGCAGGAATAGGGACTTGGACCAGGAATCCGAGCTTGAACAGGCAGCTGGGGACGCTGACCTTTATTCCTGTGTCCCCTTCACCACCTGTAGCGTGAATTTCGTGAAGTGGTCCTCCCAGGGGATGCTCCGGATGTCCTGCGAGGCCATGAACGAACTCTTCCAGCCCACGGTCAGCGGGATCATACAGCATATCGGTGAGCGCCCGGGCTCGGGCTCCTCCTCGCACCCCCTAACACCCTCTACCAGTGCCTGAAAGCCTACACACACACACAC